CCGATCTGTCACACAGTTATATTGGCCGAGTGTCGATTTACTTGATCATTTGCAGAAAATTTTTCAATGAACTTTTTGCGGTCCCAGAAAGTAAAATATTTTTTCCACCCCTGAGCTTGTTAGTGAAAACATAAGCTGTTAATTAATGAGGGTTGTGTAGTTGTTACCAAAACTATTTTTGTGTTTTTTTTCCTCAAAAGGAAGGAGACACAGACTTGACTGCCTGGCTGCAAATGAGACCCAATGACATACTGTATCAGGGCTGATCATGACATGGAGCTATTGGCAACATTCGAGAATAGCGAAACTGTAAAAGCCATCTTTACTTCCTGGCGTTGTTCTACTGTACCTGCTCGACTTAGACTACCCATCCAGACTCAGCAGTCTGACATGGTAAAGGCTTTTCAAGAAATTGAACAATATTGCTACGTGTGAGAACTTTTACATTTATCTAGTAATTACTTTAATAACCTATTCATGTATAGCTGGTAAATATATTATTTTAAACAATTTCTTAATTGTTTTTATATTGTAGGATGACAACAGCAAAAAATCATGCCAAGATTATTATTCTAGTTTCATATTGTCTTAAAAGCCATGCACACCGGATCGAACTAGAATAATTTTCTTAGCAGGATTTCAATTCAAGATAATTTTTCTAATTTTGTCCCATGGGTAAGTAAAATTTTCTTATTAAGATTATTTTTCTTATTTCAAGAAAACGTTCTATCAAAATTTTCTTATTACTAGAAAATAATTCTTGGGAAACTAAGAATTTTTTTCTAGAAATAAGAAAATTTTGCTAGAACGTTTTCTTGAAATAAGAAAAATAATCTTGATAAGAAAATTTTACTTACCCACGGGACAAAATTAGAAAAATTTTCTTACCAAGAATTTTGTTCTAACCAAGATTAATTTTCTTATTTCAAGAAAAATTTTCTTGAAATCTGATTCTCACCTAGAATATTTTACTTACCCACGGGACAAGTAAAATTTTCTTAAAACAAGTAATTTTGTGCTTAAAATAAGTAATATTTTCTTAAAACAAGAAATTGATTTTTTGCAGTGTAGTATTGATAATGTGAAACTTGACAATTAAGAACAGCTGATTTTCAGTTTATTGTGTTGAAACGAAACATTTAAACTGACAAAAAGTCGTTTTAATCAGCGGTGCTTCAAAAGCAAAATAATTATATAAAAATTAAACGGCAATGAAAGCTTTTAAGCTTTTCTTTATACCACACAGTGGACTAGCTCAGTCTTTAATTTTGCAACTGAAGGTTGCATCAGCCTTTTATCTGCCCTTTAATCAACTGATTTCCAATTTGATATAGGTGATAAATATATAGGATAATGCACGTTTGTATCTTCGGTTCAGTAGCTACATACTATGGAGAAAATGCCCATACTAAATTAACATTCTAGTGATTTATCGCCTTTGAAATCAAGCGAGATTTCAAAGAAATTACTTAATTTTCGCAATACAACAGACATTAGCCATACACTTCATCGATGATAGTTTCGTCCTCTTAAATCTTAATTCGTATTTGGTGTATTCTTATTCGATCCGTCGCTCAATTCAAAACCTTTAGATTTCATCTTTCACTTGCATATTATTTTTATTTTGTAGCGTGCCCGTCTAAAGCGTGCGTTCAAACCGAAAATACATGTTCGCGCGCTCGGTTAAAATCAGGGGCGCAGGAAGGAACCCAGGGCAGCGGGGGCAGAATCTCGAAAAAGGACACTTTCGCATGTATTTGTCAAGCAAGCCTAAAAAATAAGCTTTCTGGCTACATTCATTATATTAATATATGTTACTAGAAAAAATGTACAGAATCATTAACAACTGACAAAATAAAATAGAAAATGACATGAGTCATTTGCGTTCTTCGATCTGTATCGTAATATAACATATTACGATAATATTGTTTAGGCTGTATTTGTATGAACTTGTAGATTTATTTATATCGCCGGACGCAACTGCGCTGTTGTTCGTTTATTGTTTTATGTAGCCTCTTGCTATGCATGGTCTCGGTACAAGCTTTCAAAGCACTCCCTACGGATAGCAGAAAACATTATATACTGTATATTTCTTGCAACAAAAAAATATATTGAGGTGCAAACAAGAAATTGTACTTACGTTAGGTTACTTGCGAAGTTTGAAACGACAATTCTTTTTAGGTAAGGAGGAATTGCTCATTGAAGTTTGTAAAATCCATTATTGAACAATAATAATGATGACACTTTATTTAAAGGGAAATGGCAATATATTTTTTATTTTCTCGTTCGAAAGAACATTAAAAAGCATACATAAAACTCCTTTACCGTTTTTTCATATCTTGCTTACTTCTACAAATATTTTAATCGAAAGAAATGAAATGTCCGCCATCTTGGATTTTTGTAGATATACATGTTACGTCACAACAGGGGTCACGCAATATTTTTATCTAGACAACCACTAATCATTTTGCACTCAAAATTTTACTCTGTATGCCCTTGGAAATATCAAGATCACTTGAAACCTTTAAAACATCTACCAATCAATATTTGGTCAGCAACGAATACTTTTATATGGTTAATCCCTGTTGTGACGTCACCAAAACTACCGTTAATGAAATCAATCATTTGTCCAAGGTGGCTGCCATCTCATTACTTCAAGTGAAAATATTTCAAGAACTAAGCATGATATGAAGAATCGGTAAAAAAGTTATTAAATAGTTTCAAACGCTCGTTCAAATGAGAAAATAAAAAATATATTGCCATTTCCCTTTAATGAGGATAAACAGATAAAGTTACAACTTTTTTCCAATCTGGTCCTCAAACGACGATATGTTGTCTTTCTCAAGCAGTCGCGTAAGGCCAGCCACGGCCAGCGGTTTCACAAAAAAATGTCGTCACTGAGTGCTTTCATCCTTCGCGCGAAACTTCAAAAACTGTCATTACACTGTTGCAGTGTTTACTGTTTAATTAATTGTGTTTACTCGACTGCGAAAATAACAAATATGCCACATTGTATGGTTCGGAAATGTACAAACGGTTGGAGAAAGACTAAATGCTTAGACATAACTAATCATAGACTGTCAAGTAGTCCACCTACAAGCATTTGGTTGCGAAATATCAGGAGGGACAATCAGCACAAGTTCAACAACTCATTTGTTATTTATATATTTTGTCAATTTCACAGTCGATTAAATTAAACACAATTAATTAAACAGTAAACACTGCCACAGTGTAATGAAAGTTTTTGAAGTTGCGCGCGAAAGATGAAAGCACCCAGTGATGTCATTTTTTTGTGGAACCGCTGGCCTTGACTGGCCATTCGCGTCTGCTTGAGAAAGACAACATGGTGTCGTTCAATAAATATCACTTATTTACTGAAACCGATCGAGGGAAACAGTGTGTTTTGTGGACACGAGACCGACGTTGTTGCCCGAGGCGAACAACGGCGGCCGAGGGCCACAAAGCACACTACTTTCCCGAGGTCTCGGTAAATAAGTGTTTTGTTATATAGTATATAAGTGTCAAAGTATGAATAATTCACCGGTTATTGGAGTGAACTTAATTTGAAACCAAACCGGGATAAATGGAACGCCGTAAATGTTTAGTAATTAAAGAGTTTTAAAAATGAACTTTGGAACTTGATGGTTGACACGCATGCGTATTGCACCCATTTTATTATTGACCGGTCAATAAATGTTTGATTGTGGACCGGTTGACGAACATGAAGTCTTGTGGAATGGCACATGACACGGTTTTGACCAATCGACAAAGAGAAAAATTGAACTTTGACACTAACTACAATTATGACAATGGATTTTACAAACTTCGATGAGCAATTCCTCCTTACCTAAAACGAATTGTTTTTTCAAACTTTGCAAGTAACCTAACGTAAGTACAATCGCTTGTTTGCACCTTAATATATTTTTAGTCGAGTGTCCCTTTAAATCAAAATATTACATAAAAGGACGAAAGTTTAGAAGAAGAATTTAATTATTTTATGTTAAACAACTCGTCTGAAAAATCAAAGTTAGCATTACCCGAAATCGTACGAATAGTTTTACCAGTTGAAAGGTCTTCTTCACAATAACAGCCCATCATGATTCCTTTCTTGACAATTATATTCCATGCAGAATTGTAAACTGATCCTGGACCAAGTCTTGCATACAATATACATCCTGCGTTAGTTATTATACTTCTGCAATATTCATCTCTTTTCATCTGAACAGCATAAGCTTTTTAAATAGAGATAGATAACATTTTCAATTCTGTTTTCAAATGACACTGAAATATAATAATCTTGAATAAAATCAGCTACGATTTTTTAATTTTGCGTTCCGCTGTAAAGTGGTTAGTCGGAAATTAAACGCTCCTACTTGCGGCAAATGCAACGAGCGGAATGACCGTTGGGTATAGAGTAATAGAGGCATAAAATATATCCATGTTAAAGCTGGAGTTACTGCACGAGCAACAAAATTGCTGCAAAATCTGATTTCAACAAGTAGAAATGTCGTCACATGTTGCCTTGTGATTTGTAATTTATGTGTAAACATTTCTACTTAATATGCGTTGAAATCAGATTTTGTTGCAAATTGCAGCAATTTTGTTGCTCGTGTGACTCCGCCTTAAGAAATTTAGCCAGCAACGTATTTGTCAACACACGTACGTTAGCCGGAAGTCAAGATGTGTTGTCAAAATCTCCTGCTTGAAATCAAGAACGATTCGCGATTTCAGGTAAAAAACGTCGCTTGCTTAAAACCCTTTTTCGTCAAAGCCACACATTAACTTTTAGCTCACCATGTAATGTAAACAATTTACATTATGGTTGTTTCAATTGTATAATAATGACTATATACCGGAAGTTGATCATGAAGTGTATCGACCTCTTTGTTGCCATATTACTTCGCTTGCTTATAATCCATCGAAACGCTGACAGTGCATTCGAAATTGCGTAATAATCTCTATCCAAATGGAGTTCCATGCTGTTATGAAGAATTATAAGACTTTTATTAACACTTTTGTCAATTTAATTTGTTTACGTCGAAAGCAAGACTTTATTATATGCCACAAGGAGGTGAACATTCGCTGAGATATACCGAAATTCGAAACATAACATTTGGACATTTTATCTCCTGACGAAAATTAAAGAAACTCTCCAAAAATTCACCGGCAAAACATAAGGAAACAAACACACAGTTTGCTGTATTTTGAACGCTGGTAATAAGTACTTTCGTGTTTATTTTCATTTGTAAATTTTCAACTTATATGCGACTTAAACTATCCTATATCTGACACACGAATAGAGATGTGATTAAACTATCCTATATCTGACACACTATGACTTAATTTCCTAAATTGTGTAGTCGAATATGGGTTCTGTAGTTGACACAGGCCTTAAAAGAATAACGATTTACGCCAAAGAACTATAACAAGCGTTTGGTAATGAAACTTTCTGATATGAACTGACAGTAATTTAGCGCATATATATACTGTATATATATATATATATATATATATATATATATATATATATATATATATATATATATATATATATATATACATATATATACATATACATATACATATATATACATATATATACATATATATATAGTATATATATAGTATATATTTTGTATATATATAGTATATAGTATATATATAGTATATAGTATATATAGTATATAGTATATATATATATATATATATATATATATATATATATATATATATATATATATATATATATATATATATATATATATATATATATATATATATATATATATATATATATAATAATCGGAAAGAGGCTTACACAACAAAAAGAAAATATTCAGAAGTGAAACTTTTTCGTTTTAAACCACTAGAAATACACTGTATGTTGTTAAAGGCACAGTTCAGCCTTTTGAATCATGGTAATTAAGGTGCATTTCAGTCCTTTTATTTGGAAAAAAGACTAACTTGGAAAATTAATTAAGCATAATTCAAGATCAAAAAACTTAATGTATTTTTTTAAATGTTAAAAACATTAAGTTTGCTGATCTTGATTTATGCTTAAAAAATTCATTAATAATTCACGAGGAAAATACAAAAGAAATGAATGTTTAATCAATGTCTGTAAATCGGATACAGATTTGTCCTGATTTACATAAATTTCAGCTTTGATTTTCTCGGCTGAGAAAATGTTTATTTTTAAAATTACTTCGCCAATGAACTCATAAGATGGATCATTTTTTAAGTATGATAAAATATTCGCTTCCGATCTGTATCTGATATATAAACTCTCGCCTTCGGCTCAGGTTTGTATATCAGATAAAGATCGGCTGCTCATGATTTATCTAGTACTTAATTGATTTTCCTAGTTTGTTTCTTCAAGTAAAAGGGCTGAAATGCGCCTTAATAACCATCAATCAAACTATGCGTTTGAGACATAGTACGTGCAAATCCATTGTTTGTATTCGATCTCCTGTTGTAGCTACTGAAGAGGTGCCCGTATTAGAGGCGAGGCGTTAAAGGTCTCTCCATTTCAGGTAAAGTTTGAATTATAGTATTACAGATACTCCATACTGAAAAGTGCCTGTACTCAGGGCCTTTTTAACATACAAGCTGGGGGGGGGGGGGGCCACCTTGTGCCCCCCAACGAAATCAGATTTTGCCCCCCCCCCCACAGGAAAAGTCCCTTTTCCCTAAATTATAGAAAGAAACCAGCGAAGATTAACAAATACATAAACGGAAAGTAAGGTTTAGGCTTTATCCTTTGTCCTTGTTTAACAAAATCGATTTAAATTGTTACTTTTTTCTACCACTAAGTAATGATAAATTATTGTTAATAATTTTTTTATTTTTTGGATGCTCAGAATGCAGGAAATAGCATTTCCGGGGTTTTTTTTGTGCGTTTTTTCCTTTGTTTATTTCAAATACAAGTATAGTTAGCATAAATTTTGGAGCAAATTTGGATGCTCGGAATGCAAGAAATGACATTTCCGGGATTCAAATTTCGAAAATTTTCCGGGGATTATCCCTCTAATAAGTAATGATAAATGATGGTTAATTTTTTTTAACTTTTTGTGCGTTTTTTCCTTTATTTATTTCAAATACAAGTACAATTAGCATAAATTTTGGAGCAAATTTGGACGCTCAGAATGCAGGAAATGACATTTCCGGGATTCAAATTTCAAAAATTTTCTGGGGGAATACTCCCCCAGACCACACTCCATTCATGAGTGGTATATTGGCGACACACGTAGCCTTCAGCCATTGCTATCCCCCTCTAATATATTATATCACAGAAAAGTCCCTTTTCAAAAAATCCCCCCCCCCCACGGGAAAATCCTTAAAAAAGTTCCTGCCTGTACTAGAAAGGTGTCTTCGGGAGGGAGTCGTGTCGGCAAGAAAGGGAAATGCTATACGTGTTCCTAGACGTATCCGTATTGTTGTGTTGTCTGCATTCGAGAAGGAAGATCTATAATTTGGGGTGGTCTCTACACTGGAGAAATGTCCACATAAAATTTAAAGAGGTGAACGTTTTTTATATGTGTGTATAATAATAGGTCCGTAATTTGAGAGCTATTGATGAATGTAAAATAGTTAGGCGAATTGGCGAGATGTCTGTATTAGAGAGGTGTCTGTATTAGGGAGGTGACAGTGTTTGACAGTAGTCCTGTGGTAGACATATTTTAATAGAGATTCGCTGGTAATTTAACTAACAATAAATTAAGACGAACTTACTGACAGCACTAATCAGTGATCCCTCTTGCTCCACGACATTGCCAACAGGAGTATAATCAGAAGCTTTTGGAAAGTGTGCAAACGATTGAAAGAAGTTCGTTCCGCCTGTTCTCGCCATTTGCTTGATAACGTGGTCATCTACTGCTTTATCCAACACATGAAGTCGAGCAATCTTACCATTCAGTCCTGTAGTAGGACTACTCATAAACCAATATGGATACATACTGGTTATCGACTTACCTGAAAGTGTTTGAAATAAAAGTTATCACTCATTTTTCAAAACGTTATATAATATATTTAACAATTATTCGCCGAAAGCGAGGTAGTTGTCGGGGAATAGTCACCGAGACGAAGTCGAGGTGAATGTTCCCCGATCATCACCGAACATGAGCCGAATAATTGTCTTTGTATTTTACAGAAGTTTTTGTGGAGTTTTTTTACTGATTTTATTTTAATTTCGCTTATTTCTTTATCAATAACTTCCACAAAAGGGCTAGCAACCATTTTGTAAATTTCGGGTTTTGTTATATTCACCTGTAGGTGAATATAACAGCTTAAATAATACGTCATGCATTTGACCCAAGGCCGGCGAGAGGGGGGTAGTGCAGGGGGGGGGAGGGCAAAACGCCTGGGGCCCAGAGTGCTGAGAGGGGCCCGGAATGCTCGGTAAAATGTTCCTATCGGTTACCATCGCTTTATGTTTTTACTAAATGAAATACGCCTGCTTTAAACGTACCGAATGTGAAATAATTTAAACCATTTTTCGATCGTTTTTCCCGAAGAAACAGTTAGCTAAACATCGGTTACATCTCGTCTTTATCAGTTATGAGATGAAATGAGGTATTTACCTGCATTGTACAAATTTATTACGTCCATCTGCTGGTACGTTAACATTCATGCACGCCATACGCACCATCGGCACCGAAATTCTCCGGCGATTCCTTGCAAGTAATTCGTAGGCGATTCCTTCGTTGATTGTGATAAAAAAATAGACTTTGGTGTGACCATCGGCGTGAGAATCAGAAGGAACAAGGGGTGCGGCATGTTGACAAATTTGTTCCGGGGCCCGTGGTTGCCTCTCGCCGGCCTTGATTTGACCAATCAGGTTGTAGGATTTGTTAATATATTCACTTGGTAAAAATACTAATATGTTATAGACGAAATTAATTAGAACAGTTTCACATATGAAGTGCAAAAACATTCCCCATATGAAGTTAACAATTTCTGCAGTAACAAAATGGCAAAGATTAATAAAATTATTATTTAATATCTGGTACTGGAAAATGTTCACACCTGGAGGATTTTAATTCCCTATTATTTTGAGATTTTCTAAAATGCGAGTTGCAAGTTGCGAGTATAATTTATTGTTAATTTCCAATAATATCGAGTTTATTTTTTACCCAGGGTTAACACTAACCTAGCTTTGAACAACCGACCCGGGTGTTTACACATGCACGTATGGTTTACACTAAAAAAATCAAATTGAAAACTATCTGGCATCCTGGGGCATTGGTTTTTAGCTTTGTCTCAATATCGGACCAATTTTCAGCTTTTGAAGGAATATTTGGTTTATTTATGCTGATAAATGGAATTATTTTAATTTCAGTTGTTCCACCGATGAAAAGGACTTGAATGTTGAGTCCGAGCGTTCAGAATATTCAATTTTACAAACCATAATAGTTAAAGTTTAATAATAGAAAGCACAAAATGCTTTGGATAACTACTTGATTTAATTAATTTAAACATAGACTAGAAACCCTGAGAAACGGCAAATATAAACTTACACTAGAACATGCCGGTGGATCTAACGAAGTATGAACAACAATAAATGTCGATTTCCACTAAATCCAGTTTTCCACTTCAATCGTATCGTAGCGAAGCGTAGCGTATATCTTTGTTTCCTGACCACTAGAGTGGAACTAATGACTTTGACACAAAATAAAATGCTACGGTACGTTACGATACGGTTGAAGAGGAAAACTGGCTTTAACCAACTGTATCGTAACGTAACGTATCGTAGCATATTCCTTTGTGTCGAAGTCATTCGTTCCACCCTAGTGCTCAGGAAACAAAGAAATACGCTACGCTTCGGTACGATGCGACTTAAGTGGAAAACAACGGCCTTAATTTGTTGAAACGAATTTAATTACAGGGAACTTAACTTTAATTAAAGGTCATTAATATCATCAATTAAACAAAAACCCCTTCTGCTTCGCCGTCCATGTCGTATATACTTTCAAAGCCACATTCAAAGCGGAGTAGCGAGACACCATTTCGAAATTCGGGATCCCAAGAATTTCGAAGTAATTCCGAATTGATTTCTATATCCGACGGCCAGCTCGCAACTTGCAGCTCGCAAAATAGCCGATCTTGGCAAACAAACTTGACACTACTGAATGTAACTGATAGTTTTGGGACTATTTTTGCTGTCGTATTCGGTAGACTTTCTCGATGTTTCTATGTCTGAGAACGGCCTCTGTTAAAGAATATGAAGTATTTTCGTTCGAATTCATTTATATTTTAACTGTCCACTTGAAATAGATTGTATTAGAAAAATGTTAACGGACTGTAGTTGCTGGAAAGCGAGATGTGGCTGTATTCTACATGCGCAGTGTTAAATCTTCAATACATTGGAGAGCAGGAAAGAATACATCAAAAAAGTGCCGCAAATACAGCCAACAAGAAACAATTGATGGGACAGAAAGGTAAAGATAATTTTTACAAATAAGATCGAGACAGCAAGAAACAAGGAGATTTTAGAGGAAGGCTACCAAAACTAAGCAAATTTCAGCAGCTTATATGCTACGGTTTTTGGACCAAATTTGGCGTTGTACAATGCAGAAAAACGAACAAATTAGTGTCGTTATCAGAGTGGGTAATTTGACATCATGAAAAATGTTTCCACTTTGTAAGTTCAATAACTAAGCCTATTTTTTATTGTTTTTGGTCCTTCGCCTACCTTCGAATTCAAGCTTGTTGCTAAGCGACAAGTAAAAGCGTGTGCTTACATGTTAGGGGAATTTCAAATCGATCTTATCGATATCATCTACTAATATTATTAAAAGAATAGAAACCCTCGCGACCCGTTCTCTCATTCTAAAAGTAATTAAATTCTGGTTTGTATGACATCACTATGAAAGAGCACTTTAAAGTATTAAACTTTAAATTATAAGTAAAATTAAGTACTTTTCAGACAATCTTGGACATAGCAGTAGAGGAAGCCTATACTCATGTTATTGCAAAGTTAATTTACATCGACAAAGCAAACTTTAATGCCTTTTTCTCCAACTTCCTTGTTGTCGCAATGCCGAAAACATAAATGGCACTGTATCCATGTAATTTACCATAAAAAGCTTAACATTTAGTTGACAGAGTGGAAGCTTAAGGAACCCAATTACATTTACGTGGGATATGTGAATTTTGTATAGGTGAAAAGGTAGTTTCTGACTCAATAAATTATGTGTAAGATTTGTCGCTTACCTCCATGAAAGTTTTGTTTAATTATTTCATTAAAATCAAAATTGATATAAATTTCTCCGCCGTCCTTTTTCCAGGAGATTCCAAGAAAATGCCACGTGCCAAAGTGACGGCTATCGAGTGTTGCCACACTGAAATGAAAATAGCAATTTAGTGAATTTAAGGCATACGTGACTATGAAGTCCGTTTAGTGACGAAGGCTCCTATTTTCCTTCCAAAACTTAATGTATGGCGCTCAAATAGAGTTACTTAATTGTATCGTACAATGTCACATTTGATAAAATCGTGGAGCGATATTGTTCTTGACGCGATTATATGAAATTCTCCTTATATTTTTCAGGTATAGTTGCATCACTACCAACGAAAGCTAGTTAATTAATATTGTTCTTTCGAGGATTATATGAAATTCTCCTTATATTTTTCAGGTATAGTTGCATCACTACCAACGAAAGCTAGTTAATTAATATTGTTCTTTCCAGGATTATATGAAATTCTCCTTATATTTTTCAGGTATAGTTGCATCACTACCAACGAAAGCTAGTTAATTAATATTGTTCTTTCGAGGATTATATGAAATTCTCCTTATATTTTTCAGGTATAGTTGCATCACTACCAACGAAAGCTAGTTAATTAATATTGTTCTTTCGAGGATTATATAAAATTTTCCTTATATTTTTCAGGTATAGTTGCATCACTACCAACGAAAGCTAGTTAATTAATGCTGTTCTTTCGAGGATTATATGAAATTCTCCTTATATTTTTCAGGTATAGTTGCATCACTACCAACGAAAGCTAGTTAATTAATATTGTTCTTTCGAGGATTATATGAAATTCTCCTTATATTTTTCAGGTATAGTTGCATCACTACCAACGAAAGCTAGTTAATTAATATTGTTCTTTCGAGGATTATATGAAATTCTCCTTATATTTTTCAGGTATAGTTGCATCACTACCAACGAAAGCTAGTTAATTAATATTGTTCTTTCGAGGATTATATAAAATTTTCCTTATATTTTTCAGGTATAGTTGCATCACTACCAACGAAAGCTAGTTAATTAATGCTGTTCTTTCGAGGATTATATGAAATTCTCCTTATATTTTCAGGTATAGTTGCATCACTACCAACGAAAGCTAGTTAATTAATACTGTTCTTTCGAGGATTATATGAAATTCTCCTTATATTTTCTGGGCATTTATATCCCTACCAACGAAAGCTTGTTAGTATTTTTGGCTCTACAATACCTACACTGGAACAGACAGTCCAATATTGTATATTCCGCCTTTCTTGCGCCCCGCGAAACTTATTCTCCCACGAAGCCAAATAGAGAATGTACACTAAATGTGGTCTAAATACAATACTAAACCATTCCAAAACTGTATGGGGGAATATTCACAAGCTTTTCTATTCAGAAATGTATTTCAAAATCTAAGGGGAGTTGATCAGTGAGGTAGTCCGATAGTAGTACAGCCAGCTGTGTTTGAAAAAGTTTAAGATACACACTAGCAAACAGGCGTTTTTAACAAAACCTCTGCACGTTCATTTTCTATTTATTCCAATTCCACACATTCAAAGGGTCTATACATTCATACTTGTTGATACATTCGAGCTGTCACAATCGGCAGACATCTGCTTCGACCGCCCCTCGAAATTGTTTTGTGGACTCCACTGTTTGCGGCCATTACAACAAATTTTATGGTCCCATTGTGAATGCATGCTGTTATTAATAATAGATATACATCGTATTCTACAAACATTGGGATTATCTCATGATTTTGAGAGCATTTCAAAAAAGTGTTACGTTTTAGCACATTCCTCTAGACTGCTCATTAAATTCTGAAGGGGTATAATTGGTTTACCTACGTTTTATAATCTTCAGGAAAGGAAAATCCAAGAAGTCCCGAGCTTGTAACTCTGACCAATATTACATTTGCGTGATCTTTAGGGCCATGACTCATCAGCACCGCTGGAAATGACTCAATTTGAAACCACATTATGATAGTGAGTTCATCGATTTTGTCTAAAACCTTCCCTTCTTGTATTGCGTAATTTCCTGGATCAGTTGAATTGAATACCATCTCAACTTGTTTATCTCCAACTAATAAGTAAAATTTAAAAAAAAATTAAAATACTGTACCACCTCCATATCGATATTCTAGTTAAAACGCGAAATGGTTAATTTGCCTTTAAAAAATCTGTTCGCAATGGGCTGGTAACAAATTTATCAATAAGTGTAATCATGTTAGCCTGTCATTTTATGAAGTTGGTACTCCTACAAGTTGTCCAGTGCAAAAAATACGACTAAAAGTTGATGAAAAAGCATACGGGCAGGTATGTGCCCTTTTATTTATCGACACTGATACCCAGGGCCGAGTGTATACTAATTCCGATCCGTTATTTAGATGCATCAGCGAAAATGGGAAAGCAAGAGGATTAAAAAAATCATCAATAATCGCGGGCGCATTGCTATGTTTCATGGCTGGTCGGCAGTCACCCCACTGATTTTACAAAATATACCGAATGCCAGGACCAGAATGAGTAGCATCTGAGGCAAAACATTAATAAAACATTATAAAAATATCTAATGCAACAAGCAGCCAAACAGTTTTTATTAAATGACAAAGAATTAGAGGATAGAGATTGCAGGAAATCGTATAAAACAGGGCAAGGCAAGCAGAAGATGTACATAAAATGTAGATGTAGAAAATACAGTGACTCAATGTAGGTCTATGTTTCATAAATTTCTATTTTCGACCGACGCTAGATAATTTCATGAGGGTATCCAATAGAACTAATAGACATACAATACGCAGTCAAGATTTTGCGCCCACAAAATGGCGAATTTAAATTAAAGGGAATTTTAACACGCCTCAGAGTCCTCTGGCAGAAAATTTCCCGGCGTTGAGGGGAGTGTGAATTGTTTTTTAACAAAGCTTGCAAAAAATTTTATATCTAGATTAGAATGGAAAATAAATTGTAAAGGTGATAAAATTTTCACAATACAGAATATATACAGAAATCGTGGTTTTAAAGTACAGATTCTAGGTTGTTGTGAAACCCAAAACAAAAGTAAAAAACACAAAAGAGCAAGACAAACTCGATACTCAATTAGTATATCCGAAAACATTTCTACAGTTTTATAATATAAATAAATGGAGTTCAATAATCTTTTTCTATACTATTTTAATAATAATCACCTCTCGTACTTTTTCTAAGTTTGCTTGAGACATGATTATTTTGGGCGATTTCGAGATCAGTGACGACTAAATACTTGTTGTTTTAAAACATGATTGACGACACTTCATTTAGTTTGAAGAAAAAATGAAACACGATCGAGAATGACCTATCATTTAGTAATTCTACAAGATATTAGCGCGACAGTGATGCAACACCGATGAAAAAACTTAGATTTTGTCTTGTCGTTAGATTATACTTTGTATAGTTTTCTGTAAATGAATTAAAAAAATTCCTTCTCTTCAAATTTAGAGTTACTGTCAATCGTAATTCAGAGCCAATGGTCGCGCATCCGATCTATTAATTAGAATTGTCATAGTCTTCCTACCTTGATGAGCAAGGTTTTGCGAAGACTTTTCCAAATACTTTACTTCACTTGGTCTAAAGCCTTTCCAATTCACAACATTGCCGCGATCATTTCCTTTATAACGAGCCATGAGATACAAAAGATCTACTGGCAGAACATGATCCCACAAATTTACTTCAAACAGTGTTCCAAGGAAATTTGTCATTTTATTTTTATTACCACCAGCGATAAAATCAGTCGAACCCTGCACAATGCCTTCTTTTCCAACGTCTTTCCAACTGCCCATAAACATTCCATCGATAAGCAATTCCAGAATACCATCAACGTTTGTCCATGTGATTGCTACATGATGGAGGATGTTGTCGAAGATTGGCAAGATGGCAGCAACGGTACTATGCGGAAAGGCAAGATACATTTTTGTTTAGGTTTATTCAAATTTAACGTACGATGTTTGAACTTGAATAAAATCTCATGTCTCTTGCTTTCCATATTCCTTAATTGCTCAATTTCCCCGTCCCACAGTTTCCATTACCACAGTTTACAAACTAAAATGTAAATATAATTTAAATTTCGGTCGAAATCTATGATCATTTCAAAACGGCGAAATTTAAATTAGACAACGGACACCAATGGACGAGTGTCTTATTCACTCTTATCTCGTGAGTTGTCTGTCATTTACATGTAATCTAGCCTGTAATATCTGCAATGGGCCGGTCGTCAGGTTAAGAATGCAATTGTAAATATGCTATAGGTTAGTGACTACTATATACATAGATATACTGTAAGTTGCAAAACCTCAACCAACTTTCTAAAAGTATATCGCATTTAGCAACGGAAACCTTTTAGTGCAAAATATTTCCTGTTCATCAGAACATTTAAAAATTTCCATTTCACTGAAAATAGTAATTGAAATTCTTTTATATATAATCGCACGGTCGATAACTTCAATCCTTTCAAATTGTCCAAATATTGAGTAGGGACAACCGATTACGCATTATAGGCGAGTATCTTAATAATTTCATGAAATCCAGACAAAGCTTGTTCTTCTTGGAATGAGTTATCAAAATACTATAGTAGCAACCACGGATTTGATTACCCTTAAAGTGCCATGACCTAAAAATATTGGTTTTCCACAGGTTGGTATAAAACCACAAATATTGGTTGTCAGATAAGATGTTATTTCATCATTTCATGCAATTACATACAGTTTCATTTAGTGACATCATATTTGTTAAAACAATGAAAAGTTGATGAAGATAATGTTTTCCACCGATGGGATACAATTTAATTTCTTCTGAAACTGCATGAGTCAAATATCACATAATCACAACCTCATTAACTAATAATTTAATAGAGGGGGCCCCACCCCACCCAATTTATGCCAAATGGGCAATGAGGGGGAGGGGTCACAAGACGTCTGGCAAAAAGCGACAGCTCGCTAAAATTTTGTCGCCCATATGCCTGCGAGTCCTAGGAATGGATCAAAATTAATTCAGTTCTTCACCTAGATCAAAATCAACTCAACCCACTTTAAGTAGTTATTTATTCGTATCATATGTCATTTCAAATCCTCCAATTCGGCCTGGACTAGATTTTAAGTCCTCGCATTCTGAACCAGCCTCGGAAAATTGCGTAGATTTGAAATCTAGTCACGTCCTCATAAGCAGATTTGAATAAAACAAGTAGGGTTTTAGCTACTCCATGCGCAAGGAAACAAAATGGTACCCCCTCAATTACTCAGACACACTCGTCCGTTTTTCAACCATACGTTGTCGTTAACAAAAATTGGTTAACAAACGTAAATTGTCCATTTAATGAATCATTTTGAAAAGTGGCATTAAAGAAAACATACCTAGCTTGATTAACCTTTATCAACAATCTCTGGTCAGTTAACAGTGAAACATGTATTCCGCACTGCGACTCAGATTCATAGCATGCAATATCAAATTCATTATTGACTGGATATTTCCAAGTTGAAAGCCAAAATGACAACGTGAATGCATTCAGATTACGAGGAGGTACGACAGAGTAAACGAGCCATCTGTTTCTGTGAAACTCTTTTAATACCCAATTATACACTTTGTTTGGTGGCACTTGAAGGAAAGAAAAAGGCAATGGTAAACAATTATTAGCTAGGTGACCTCGAGTAGAAAATCCAGATTATTCAGACAGAGTTCAATGTTATCTGCCGAAGACAAAAGTTGCTAACAAATTAACATTAACATAAATTTAAGTTTTAATTAGAAAGTTTAAATTTAATCTGAAAACTTCTAAACCAAGATAACATTATGATTATGTACTTAATGTCTGCTAATGAGCCGGGATAGGTTATTTTTGTTTTTCGAAGAGTCTAAATGTTTCCCGAGACTAATTCCAAGCAATCATATATTGCAAACAAATTTTGAGAAACAAAGAAAGCAGACACTAACTGTTTTGTTACGTAGCGACAAAAGAATAATGAACAACATTCATATAACAATTTTATTTCATGACAAAAACACGGTAATGATACTGTAAACAAGGTTAAAATTAAAATTAAATGTAATTAAACGGTTTCAGGATGATATCCTTTTGCTTTTCGTGCACTTCTCTTTTTTTTACATTTTTTATTTAACACAAACTTGCAAAGTCGTACAGTATAAACTTGGGAGATGTACGGTGTAGCCGGTCGCTGCGCGGGGGAGCAATTTTTCACTTGTTGCCTGGCGGGATGCGTTGCGATTATTTAACCGCTAGTCAACCAATCACGTTTACCGCTAATCAGCCAATTCCGGATAGTGTTTACCCTAGCTATATAACAATGTTCCGACAACTTTCTTTTCAGAATAAATTCCATCTTTCAATTCAATGCGAGGAAACTCGATAAGCAGCCAAAAGTAGTCTCCCAAGAGACTAGATTAACGCCTATTCTCATCAAAATCTCACATCCTGCATGGTCGCGTGGTTTGGGGTCATTTTGCTAGTACAAATGACAAATTAAATGTATATGATGCCTGACCGCTAAACCCAACATTTTCCGTAATCATGACCTTCTTAACCCGATCAACATTTGCGCACTGATAATCGTTCAATTTATGGTCAAAAACACCATCACTGGCTTACATTACAGCGGGCAGTGTAAAAAAAACTGTTCCAGTTGATCAGAATCAGAACGTTACTGAACGTCTCAACCTGAGAAGCTCAGACGCGTTAGATCAGAATTTGGTTCGATTCGCGAGACACTCATAAATTACTTTTGTAGCTTATAATTTGCATCTATATGGGAAAGGCTACACTGATTTATGGAACAAATTAATATACTCACGTCTTACACCACATGAAGGAATACTTTTCTTCGCAAGATGAAATCCCTTCCAAATGTTTGCTTTCCATTTACCTGTATCACTAGGACACTTATGACTAATTTCATTTTGAATATTGAAACTCGACGATATACGGTCTGTTTGGCGAACCGGACTTATTATACCCTCAAAGTGATGTACCATACCCTCACCATCTTTACAATAACCAAGTTTAACAACTCCTTTTGGAATTATAATTCCTTTGTTGACAGTGTATTTCCTAGTTTCGCGTTGTACTCCGTCCAGATATATTGTGAGATCAGGTTTTATGAATTTTAGCATAACACTATGCCAGGTATTGTCACTTGTGTTGTAGGAGTAAGGGAAGGTAAAATTCTGCGGTCTGTAACATTGTAGAAAAAAAGTTATATTAAAACTAAAGTAGAAAGGCTTTGCTCTTTTAAAGCACATTTGATAAATACATATGATTTTCAATTAAAATTGGCATGCTCAATGGAGTTATTGGGACTTGTGAAGCTGGGAGAGCTTATTCTTTTATAATATACGATTTATCGAACAGTGGCGTAGCCCGGATATCTGGCCAAAGGGGGCCCACAAAACTCGGGGGGGAGGGCACTTCAAACAAGATGAAAACTGAAAAGAATAAGCAAAGTACGTACACATAGGGGCACCCATTTAGTTTTGTTTAATTGTAAAACAGCAAAAACAACAAACGTTAAAATTAATTGAATAAAAGGGTGCAACAACGGTATATATAAGGAATAAAATATTCACAATCAGCCTTAGGTTACTCCACATGATGAAAGTCCATTTCAGAAAAATGCTCGCCGCGCACCGAAAATTTTAAGTCCCCCCCCCACCTCTAATTTGGCATTTACAACGATAAATCGTTGCTGCTGCTACTACTTTGCAACAATTATAGAGTTTTAAAAACCATGGTTGCTACGAGCTGCTTTTGAAAATATGACGCACTTCGCGCGACAAGCTTTAGAACCATGCATCCGATTAAACTCGGAAGCTTCCGAAATATCACATTTCCCACGTTAAATGATCAAAGGACAAAACCGTGTTCGCGTTTTTTGACATGTATTATATTTGCCGAGATATAAAGCAGATAATTTGACTCATCAAAAATTAGCAATAACGATGGAACAGAGGCCTATAATTTGAAAACTAAAGCATTTAAAAAAACTCGAACACGGTTTCGCTCCTCATAATTATATTGTCCTACATTCTGGCAAAATTTGGTAGCAATTGAATAAAACGTGCCCGTTCCATAACTCTTTTTGTGAGGACAACCGGGCTGATAATTCCTTCTCTGTAGAAGACAAAAAGTGATTTCGCGGAGATTTTCCGTTCTCTGTTATGTTTCTCCGCCCCCTGTCATTATTTCAAATTGTAAGCCAATCAGGTTCGACTTTTTAAAGTGTGTTTTGACTGGGTTTCATTTCAGAGCTCGGCATCAATGATAAGGTGATAAGCAGCGCACTTATAAATATATATAGTTTTTATCATGCAGTTTATCGCAACACTTGCGAAAAACCAGACATTAATTCAAGCCAAGTGCGAAACTCAGCAAAACTTGCTAATATTTTGAATATGCCGGCGAAACGCAAAGGCAAACAAAGCAAAGCTACGCAGCCCTTTGATTTTCTAGGCAGAACGCTCACGCGTATACGTTTGGACTGAAGATTGATCACTTTTTCAACCGATAAGATAAGATAAAAGATAAAACTTCATTTGACTACGCTGGCCACTTCAACCGGAGCTGCTTTCCAAGTGGGGCGTAGATAAATTATAAACTACGAATACAAATACATATTACAAAACAAATGGTATACAAAAGTCAAATAGCTAATTCGTCAGACTAACAGAGGAAATATTTCTATTGAAAGAATTTAAAGATTCGCTGTTTCTTACTTGTTCAGGAATGCTATTACAGATTTTAACCCCACTATATCGAAAATATTTTCTGCCATACTCTGTATTTGGTCGAGACAGAAAGAGAGACGAATATGAACCTCGTAAATTATAACTGTGGATATGGTTAGAATTCTGGAACATTGATGAGAACCTCGATGGTGCCAAATTATTGACAACCTTAAACATGAGAATGGCCATAATATGTTTTCGCCTTTCTTCCAAGCTTATCCACCCTAATTGATCGAGGGCCAGTTGAGATTGCCCAGGCTCATCTTTAAAGTTCATAACAGTTCTAGCACATCTGTTGTGAAAATTTTGTAGTCGTTCAGACCGGCCTCTATTAATGGAATTCCAAACCTCACAACAGTAGTCGAAATGGGGTTGGACAAGACCATAATAGACTGACTTCAAAGTATCAGAATTAGTGAAATCCTTTACCTTTCTCATGGCACTTATTCCAGAAGATATTTTTTTAAAATTTGGTCAATATGACTGTCCCAAGTTAAAAATTGATCAATTTTGACTCCAAGAGTTTTTGTCACTTGAACCTTTTAATTGGTTCATCCCCAATAAAAACACGCGGTTGTTCTTCCAACGTGTTAATATTGTGACGTGATCCAATCAAAAGATATTCCGTTTTGACAAGGTTAAGAGAAAGCCTGTTTGATAGAAGCCATTCTCTGATATTATTGAGATCAGCATTAACGCCCACCTCAGCTTCCTTAATTGATTTACCGGACACTGTAATGTTAGTATCGTCGGCGAACATACGTGCAGTAGAGTGTTGTAAACAGTTCGGTAAATCATTGACATAAATTAAAAACAGAAGTGGACCAAAATTGAACCCTGAGGAACTCCATATTTTACTTAGAAAGCAAATTTCACTGTGTTGTGTAGGCTACGATCCTGTTATTACAATGATATAGCTATATCTGAAACAAACAAGCCGCCCAATGTTGAATACCGCCTGTGGTCACACTCATCCACAAACTGCCAATCACAAATAAAACTTTCCCGGAAAAATATTAGACTATAACATTTTCGGTTATATCTCGGTTCCATTTTAATATTTTTAAAACATGTTTGCGGAAATGGAAAGATCTCTAGCCCCTCGATATAAATCGACAATAATGTAAAAAAGGACAAAATCAATGTATTCATGAAGCTCCTTTTAATCGGGGAGCTGAAAGCGAGGACGAAAGGGCGCCCGAGGAAATTTTTAAAATTAGAGTCACTGCAATGCCATTTCCTGGACTTTGGGGAATATTTCACAGAACTGTGATGGTCAGAAAACAGCGTTTTAGTATGTCGAATTTAACAATTTAGTAGTACTAAATGGGCGCCGGCGAAGACGTATTTAATTAACTATATATATGTATATATATATATATATATATATATATATATATATATATATATATATATATATATATATATATATATATATATATATATATATATATATATATTGCGCACGTTTATTGCGCATATTGCGCACGCTCACTGCTTGCAGTTTGAGCGCTCTGGCATGGTTTTGATGTCCCACAATCGTGAGGCATCAAAGGTAACTATAAATAAGAGTTACTTTCATCCTGCTCATCAGCACTACACTGATGAGGCCCATAAGGCCGAAACGGTACCGTCTGTAGTTAGATATCGCTCTGTGGCCTTTAGGTCATACTGAGCGCTCTACAGGATGAGCCATGCCGCTTACGCATTGCGCACGCTCACTGCTTGCAGTTTGAGCGCTCTGGCATGGTTTTGATGTCCCACAATCGCGAGGCATCAAAGGTAACTATAAATAAGAGTTACTTTCATCCTGCTCATCAGCACTACACTGATGAGGCCCATTAGGCCGAAACGGTACCGTCTGTAGTTAGATATCGCTCTATGGCCTTTTAGGTCATATTGAGCGCTCTACAGGATGAGCCATGCCGCTTACGCATTGCGCACGCTCACTGCTTGCAGTTTGAGCGCTCTGGCATGGTTTGATGTCCCACAATCGTGAGGCATCAAAGGTAACTATAAATAAGAGTTACTTTCATCCTGCTCATCAGCACTACACTGATGAGGCCCATTGGGCCGAAACGGTACCGTCTGTAGTTAGATATCGCTCTATGGCCTTTTAGGTCATATTGAGCGCTCTACAGGATGAGCCATGCCGCTTACGCATTGCGCACGCTCACTGCTTGCAGTTTGAGCGCTCTGGCATGGTTTTGATGTCCCACAATCGTGAGGCATCAAAGGTAACTATAAATAAGAGTTACTTTCATCCTGCTCATCAGCACTACACTGATGAGGCCCATTAGGCCGAAACGGTACCGTCTGTAGTTAGATATCGCTCTATGGCCTTTAGGTCATATTGAGCGCTCTACAGGATGAGTCATGCCGCTTACGCATTGCGCACGCTCACTGCTTGCAGTTTGAGCGCCCTGGCATGGTTTTGATGTCCCACAATCGTGAGGCATCAAAGGTAACTATAAATAAGAGTTACTTTCATCCTGCTCATCAGCACTACACTGATGAGGCCCATTAGGCCGAAACGGTACCGTCTGTAGTTAGATATCGCTCTATGGCCTTTAGGTCATATTGAGCGCTCTACAGGATGAGCCATGCCGCTTACGCATTGCGCACGCTCACTGCTTGCAGTTTGAGCGCTCTGGCATGGTTTTGATGTCCCACAATCGTGAGGCATCAAAGGTAACTGTAAATGGCAGTTACTTTCATCCTGCTCATCAGCACTACACTGATGAGGCCCATAAGGCCGAAACGGGACCGTCTGTAGTTAGATTACGCTCTATGGCCTTTAGGTCATATTGAGCGCTCTACAGGATGAGCCATGCCGCTTACGCATTGCGCACGCTCACTGCATGCAGTTTGAGCGCTCTGGCATGGTTTTGATGTCCCACAATCGTGAGGCATCAAAGGTAACTGTAAATAGCAGTTACTTTCATCTTGCTCATCAGCACTGCACTGATGAGGCCCATATGGCCGAAACGGTACCGTCTGTATAATATATATATATATATATATATATATATATATATATATATATATATATATATATATATATATATATATATATATATATATATATATATATATATATATATATATATATATATATATATATATATATATATATATATATATATATATATATATATATATATATATATATATATATATATATATATATATATATGTATATATGATGTCCCACAACCGTGAGGCATCAAAGGTAACTATAAATAAGAGTTACTTTCATCCTGCTCATCAGCACTACACTGATGAGGCCCATTAGGCCGAAACGGTACCGTCTGTAGTTAGATATCGCTCTATGGCCTTTGGGTCATATTGAGCGCTCTACAGGATGAGCCATGCCGCTTACGCATTGCGCACGCTCACTGCTTGCAGTTTGAGCGCTCTGGCATGGTTTGATGTCCCACAATCGTGAGGCATCAAAGGTAACTATAAATAAGAGTTACTTTCATCCTGCTCATCAGCACTACACTGATGAGGCCCATTAGGCCGAAACGGTACCGTCTGTAGTTGTAGTATGTATCATTGAGGAACATCAATCGCCTGATGATCGTACGCTGTACGTGAAACACTGTGTAGCGATGAAATAAAATTTTAAGATTGAAATTTGTTGTTTTTGTTTTTTGTATTTGCTCTACTGATTTTTCGCACAAATTCAATATTGAATATATATATATATATATATATATATATATATATATATATATATATATATATATATATATATATATATATATATATAATCAAGTTTTCTTGATATAATATAGAGTGCTCAATACTTTATTGTATACAGCTAAATTTATTTAATTATTTATGAAATAAAGTACAAAACAAAAGTTGTTACTCAGAGTTTCATGCCAGAGGTTACAGACAATATTCGGACAACTATAGTTCTGTTAACTAAATTTGACGGTTTTGTTTTGTTTGCTTGCGCCTGCATGATTGCGCACGTTGTTGTACAAACTTGGCAGCGACGATAGGATAGATGGCATTAACTACGAGCTAATGAATATTGCTTCAGTTCTTAATATTAGTGATCGTATTGAAACCATGGCGAAACGTGAAGCATTCATTACTGTCAAAGATTACAAGGAGAACTTTGAGAAAAGCTTAGATATCGCTCTATGGCCTTCAGGTCGTATTGAGCGCTCTACAGGATGAGCCATGCCGTTTACGCATTGCGCACGCTCACTGCTTGCAGTTTGAGCGCTCTGGCATGGTTTTGATGTCCCACAATCATCAAAGGTAACTGTAAATAGCAGTTACTTTCATCCTGCTCATCAGTACTACACTGATGAGGCCCATAAGGCCGAAACGGTACCGTCTGTAGTTATATATATATATATATATATATATATATATATATATATATATATATATATATATATATATATATCCATTAGGCCGAAACGGTACTGTCTGTAGTTAGATATCGCTCTATGGCCTTTAGGTCATATTGAGCGCTCTACAGGATGAGCCATGCCGCTTACGCATTGCGCACGCTCACTGCTTGCAGTTTGAGCGCTCTGGCATGGTTTGATGTCCCACAATCGTGAGGCATCAAAGGTAACTATATATATATATAGGACTACACTGATGAGGCCCATAAGGCCGAAACGGCCGACATGGTTTGATGTCCCACAATCGTGAGGCATCAAAGGTAACTATATATATACAGCACTACACTGATGAGGCCCATAAGGCCGAAACGGTACCGTCTGTAGTTAGATATCGCTCTATGGCTTTTAGGTCATATTGAGCGCTCTACAGGATGAGCCATGCCGCTTAGGCATTGCGTACGCTCACTGCTTGCAGTTTGAGCGCTCTGGCATGGTTTGATGTCCCACAATCGTGAGGCATCAAAGGTAACTATAAATAAGAGTTACTTTCATCCTGCTCATCAGTACTACACTGATGAGGCCCATAAGGCCGAAACGGTACCGTCTGTAGTTAGATATCGCTCTATGGCTTTTAGGTCATATTGAGCGCTCTACAGGATGAGCCATGCCGCTTACGCATTGCGCACGCTCACTGCTTGCAGTTTGAGCGCTCTGGCATGGTTTGATGTCCCACAATCGTGAGGCATCAAAGGTAACTATAAATAAGAGTTACTTTCATCCTGCTCATCAGCACTACACTGATGAGGCCCATAAGGCCGAAACGGTACCGTCTGTAGTTATATATATATATATATATATATATATATATATATATATATATATATATATATATATATATATATATAGATAGATAGATAGATAGATAGATAGATAGATAGATAGATAGATAGATAGATAGATAGATAGATAGATAGATAGATAGATAGATAGATAGATAGATAGATAGATAGATAGATAGATAGGCGAATGTCAATAAGTATATTGAGTGCCGAATCATACGAATAGATATTCTAACTTATAGGTAACTTGAGCTATTATATAAATGTTTGATGTCATCAGGAAAGCGTAAACCTATGTCTGTAACCTGAGCTATTGGCTGCAGAGCAGGAATTTTTTTCTGTGCCTACATGTGTATATTAGTTCGTTTCTTGAGTTCAAAGAGCTTAATTTGGGATAATAAATTATAATAAACTTTTCGTGCAGGCACAATTTACAACGTTTTGTTTTGTTTGAGTAGGCCTTACATTTCTTTAAAATTTTCCAGCGGATAGAGTATTGTATGCTGGATTGCTTCAACAGGCGAATATATTTACTCAGTTCAGTTGAA